AAAAAAAAACGAAAGAAAAAGAAGAGAATATACGATACAATCGTCGACAAACGGTCGTCCAACAGTCGCAGATCGATACAACCTGTTCGTTTCAGTTCTGCTTTTACGTGGGATGGCTGAAAGTAGCCGAGGTATTGATCAATCCATTCGGCGAGGACGACGACGACATCGAGTTGAACTGGCTGATCGATCGTCACATCAAGGTACGAGACCTTTCGACTTTCTTCGATTCCGTTCCGAAGAATTTGAAATCGAAACTCGGCTCTGTTGGTCCGCGAGATCGACCAACGTTGATTCGCGTTAACGATGACGTTGGCGTTTATTTGACACAGGCTGGATACATGATCGTGGACGAGATGCACGAGGAGCATCCAGAACTGTTGAAAGATCAATACTGGGACGAGGTCGTGCCTAAAGATCTGCCGTACACGGTGGCCAGCGAGCAGTACCGGCGAGAGGAGCCGAAAGGCTCGGCCGAGCATTATAAGGTCAAAGAGAGCGACGCTCTGTACGCGAACGTTATGCTAGGCACACAGATCCACAATCACGTTCAACATCGCAAGACCCACCAGGATGATATGTACGCCGATTACGTAAGTGCACGTCACCAGATTGGTGAACTTGAAACCTTCGACATGCAACCGGCTACCTGTATTTAGTGTCACGATCCAGTCGCAAACGCGGCGACAGAGGCGTTACATATTCATACTGTTTTTCAGGAGAGCGTGGACACACCGTTGGTCGAGCGAAGGAAAAATTGGCTGCAACGGCAAATAACCAGAATGGGCTCGGTGCGTAGCTCCTCGACCACTTACAGCAGCGGCGGTGGCTTCTTCTCCAGAAATCGCCACAACAGCGTTTACAGCAGCCCTGAGACCGGAGGCTTGCCACAAACGAACAATCCGAACCTCAAGATGTCTCTTTACGACAGGCTGGTCGGACGGAAGAGCATTCGGAGTCAAAGAATGGGTCGACAAGGCAAGTGATTTACGCAAATTACGTTACAGACAAGACCGGCACGTCGTGTCTTCGCACTCGACGAAATGGAAACAAATGGAGACAAATGAAAACACGAGGGATTTCTATGCAAACATAGATGATAATAATAATAATTCCCAGCGCGTGTCGACAGCTGCACGTTCGTCGAAATATCGTTCGCCGTAGTCACTTTGATTTCCAAGCTGTTTAAACGATAAATGATACGATCTTACGTAACATCGTCACGTACACACGTCAACAGTGTCTCCCGTTTCTACGAATAAAAGCCGAAGAGTCGATGCCTCGGGCGCGTACCGCGTTATTCTTCATGATATCGCGAGACAGAGATTCTTCGACGCTGTCTTGCGAAAAAAAAAATCGCCTCGAGAAGAGAAAAAGAGCGAATAACTTCGATCTATCGTTGCCCGAACGATAACCGTATTCCCGTTTTTTCCTTCTGCGCGTTCCAAGGCGCGGCGCGAAAAAGATCTTTCTATGAAAATCTCTCGTGGACGTTCGAATCTTTTTCTCTGCCTAGCATGCGGTGAATTATGCAACGCGTAACCTTGTGTAATCTGAAGAACGATTTCCGCAATTGCGAATCGTTGTTCTCGAGAAAAAAAAAAAAAAAAAAAAGAAAGAAAAAAGAAAAAGAGGCAGTCTTTCCTTAAGACCTTGTGCTTCTTTCTCCTATCGCGCTTCTCACCAGACACAGTCAGACGAGAGACAGAGAAGAAAAGCGACGCTGCAAAGACGGAAAAATACCTGAAAAAGTGGCGCCTAATCGCATTTTATTCCTGCAATCTATTCTCGGACTCGAAGCCGAGACTAGGATCGAACGAAGATTCGTTTCCTCGTTCCATCGTCCTGTGGTAAAATTAACAGAGCCGACGTGAAAATTGGCGTGATCATCTCGTTAGTCGGGAATAATTTAACGTCGTGATCTTGACGAAGTCGCTGCGTGAATTCGTCTAATTCGTGTTGGTTTCTCGACAGGTACCATGACGAAGCTGAACTCGGTGCCGGTCTCTCTGAAGAATCGACCCCGCATACCGACGCCAGACGTGACGAAAGAGGTGGTCGACCGTGAGCAGAGATTAGCTCTGTCGGCGACGAACGCGGCGAACATCGGAGCAGGCGTGGTGGGAGTGATACCGGCCAACGGCCATTATCCGACCGATCTGCCAGTTGTGCAGGTGGTGCTCTCACCCATTCAAGAAACAGAGGGGACGCCCGTGTCCGGGAAATCCGGAGCGGCGGCGTTAGCGCAGGCTGTCCTATCCCCCACGTTGACCAGCGCCGGTCTCGTGGCCCCCGTCACTCTGACACCGGTCACGATGTCGCAGTTGTCGCAACTGGGCCTGGTGACGACCACGTCCGCGCCGATGATCAAACCTACGTTGAGTCAAATCAACAACATTTCGAATCAGGTGACGCTGACCGAGGTGAACAGCGCTGAGGAAGAGGGGTCGAGTAGCAGAGACAGCAGAAGCGGCAGTATCACAGGGCAGGAGGAACGCTCGACGCCGTTGATAAGCCAAGGCAGAAGCACTCCACTGATAGGAGAGACGTCCAGTTCGATGGGCAGTAACGGTAACTCGCCGACATTCGACAGCTACAACGATCGCTCTCCGATCCTCATGAAGCCTGAGAAATTGAGTTACGTGGTCACCACGGTTGCCACTCAAGATGGCAGGACAGAGCCACGTGGCAGGCGATCGGCCTCGCTGCCAGGCCCGCCGGTCGTGCAATGCCGAGAGGACAGGAGCATGTCGCTACCACAGTCGCCGGGTCTTCAACCGAGAGAGAATCGCGCGATCTCGGTGTCGAATGGCCACGAACCTCCGAACATAGACAGGCTGATAGCGCGCGACAAGGACGTCGCTCGACCGAGGACCAACAGCATCGACCACGACCTCTGCAGGCCGAGTCATCGTGTCCAAGACACTTCGAGGAAGATCAGCAGCGTGTCCTGCACGAACGCGTCGCTATCCAACAGCCTAGGCACGACACCCACTACGGCGACCGCCATAATGCCGGCGACCACTCCAGTTGCCGGCAGCAAGAGGGGAGAGGTGTACGTTTGACTTGACCACCCAGGGACAACGTGGTAAATTTTTACTCGACGACGCATGGCTTTCGTCGTCGCGGGCGATTCAACCTGGGCGTTGCACTTGCCTGAATTCCGACTCCGTTCGTTGTCGGCGCATGTTTCATGCGTGAGAGTAGGAAGCAATTTTCGCACAATGAGCATGAAGCGATAATAGATTTTTTTTTACCACAATTCGAGCCACAGGGGCCGAGAAACGCTTCGATGTAAATACGATGCTTAATTTATGAACGTAATTTCCGACCGACGAGATAGCTAATTATCGACAGGGAATCGACACTGAGAATATCAAGTCACTATCTCGATCTGCACGATGCCAACGACTGTTTGACGATCGAACAATCGTGGAGATAACAGCGATGCAATCGAGTTCTCTTTCTCTATTTTATCGTACGTGCAATAATTTGAAGGTTAGCGAGATGACGATGAGCAATCGACATTTACGAAAGCAACGTTCTCGTTCTGAAATCTTTAGCGACACGTGGATGAGAAGTATTACGATGAGCAATACGTGACTTTTCTTTGCATCGTAATTTAACCGTGACGAGCGCAGGGTTAAATTTCAATCCTATGTTTCCGCTTCTTCTCCTTCCTCTTTTCCTTCTTTTTTCTTCTTTCCGGGAGTATGTACGCCGAGAGAAGTTAGGTTACGCTTGTAAATAGCCGTCGTCTTTGACTCTCAGCGTGTCTAATTGTAAGTGGCAGGTTCTCTCGCTCCCGTGAATCCGTTATTAATTCGCGAACGACGCGAAGCGCCACTCGATGAGATCAGGCTCCAGTCGCGGACTGGAAAGTGACGAGTGCACGTGCACGACCACGCAACGTTTGCCATATTTGCCATACTCGGAGACATTTTGCGTAAAGGAAAGGAAGAAATTGGGGCCGATTGAAAGTTGCAAGCAATGCTTTGCACGATGCTCCACGATGCTCGCCGATACTACACCACTTATTATTCCACACGTGTAATTGTTAGGAGACGTTAAGTTAGTTTTTATCGATACAAGTGCAAGCTGTGCTACTCGACGAACAAACTCGACTCACGATCGGAGGGGAGCGAATTACTCGGAGTTGGATATTCTCGATGGAATCCTTCGGATTTCGTTTTCTCGCTGTTGCAAAAAGATACGCTTGCTTTTTGTTTGGCCGCGTATTCGGTCGCGCATTCCCGACAGCTCAAGTCTTTTTTTTACAAATACGACGTTGATGCGTTATAAATCGCTTAACTATAAGTAACGAACGATTCGAGTATACGAAGAATCAAACTGGCGATCGTGCCGACGAACACGTGTGTACATAGTAGAGGTTATTAAGTTAAGGTTACTTGGTGTATGAGATTATGAACGTATGCTCAATGCCAATGTGCACGACATGCACGATGCTTACATTGGACAGATGATACTTGATCGTCGACGCAAGCCAGAGCATCGTCTTTGTTTTCCTCGTCGGTGAGTGCAGAGTATGTAAATACGGGCATATTTCTAATCGACTTGTTATTCCACTTACTTCTCCCCGGCTGCTCCTCCCGCCCCCCTTTTTCTGCGGTACTGTAATTTAAGCAAACTCGATTCCTGATCGAATTCAGCGGATTTGAAGATTAATTCAACGTCGATGACGATTCGTTACACGAATCTCGTTAGCCGAGATGGTTGTTGGGTAACGGCAACCCTCGATTTTAATTAATCGCGTAACGCACGAGAGATTACGCAGATTAGTTTTTGTTAAGATACAAGCGTATTAATATCGGAGAGAAATCCCCTCGACAATAGTTTCGTCCAGGATTGGAACGTGCTCCGTCTTACAAATAAAAGAAAAGTATTTAGAGGATTTGTCGGTACTCTCGAGCCGTCAGTACCGTCATAGACTTCGAACAAATAGTGGCGTATGCGAATTTGTAGATATTTAACAGATCGTATTTGTATATATATATATTATAGGCTACGTCTCGTTTCCGTTATGGCATCTCCGATCTGAGACTTCCTTTAGGTAAAGAATTGTTTCACGGTGCCCGAGTCGTGATGTAAACGAACCACACGTGTAAGAATAGTAACGCATTATTCTTATTATCTATATTCTGCAATAAAAATAAACGTTTCTAAAAAGCATCAATCCCTTCTATCTCTTGAGACTACTTCTTAGTTAGTTAGTTCTTCCGAATGAAAATGAGCTTTGAATTTTTCTGGCTGCAAGGATTGGAGGATGTGGACCTCGGAGATGGTGGGAGGTTCCATTACTTCCAAGAATTTCAGGAACTTTAAGTGCCTTTGAAGTTTTCTGCGATTACTAGCAAACGTTAGAGAGAGGAGGTGCTACGAATCTCGACAACATCTGCAATGACGGAAATCTGCCAAGATCTTCGGAATATATCCTAATAACTCCTGAAACTTTTTTTTTTTCTCACACATGGAGGAAATCTTCATAAGATACCTGAGTCTTTCAAAGGAAGATCCAGATAGTGTCGGATTCTTACCGATTAAAACCTCCACGATGGCCGGAACCATTCTATACACACAGAGCTCTCCCGTGTTATTTTCCTAAAGGACAATGTTTTTTTTTTTTCGCCCGAACAGGGGCTCGAACCCTGGACCCTCAGACTGAGCTATCCTCACAATAACTTCTGATACTACTGAAATCTTTGAAACCTCGTACAGTCCCATTACTCTTCACATTCGTGTTAATCGAATATTCATCGAGACGCTCGTATTTTCGAGTAATCTTAAAACTTGCTCCATCGACTCTGGACAAATTTCGACTTTCCATTTCTCTGTTTACTCGGATACCCCCCACCGCGAGCTCCTCTTCGGAATTCCTTAATAGAGAATTCCGGAATTCCTCCTACAGTTACCAATTATAATCCCTCGTGAGACTTCTATTGCTTGGTTATTAGCAATGCAAATGCCGTGATACTGCGTTATGAATGAAACATTTCGCGGCGTTAGAGCCGCTTCTCGCGGCATGGGATCCAGGTTTTCAGCGGGGACGCGCGGCAGTTAGTGGGACACCCCGCGGTGGGACGCTGTTACCGCGGCTCTAAGTTGAATGTTCATCACTTTCGCTCGTTCGATCGCGCCGGCCGGTTGGTCGCTTCTGTCCCCTTCTGGCCCCTTCCCATTTTCGTTTGCTATTTTCGTTATTTATGTTCGTTCGTATCTACGAACAGATACTTCGTCTCAACTTTAATCGTCAGTTTCCTACCTTCTTCCTGCCGCTTCATTCTCCGCTTTCACTCCGATATTTATTGTAGTTGCTCGTGTGTGTTCGCAATGCCGCGAGGCTATATTCAGCAAAACAAATAAATATTTATTTTGCCACTATTATCCACTGATTACTATGTGCACGCAAATTTTACATTGAATCGATCGGGATTCTTATTCAAATAAATCAATTCACTGACGAACGAACTCTATGAAGGAGTGGCCTTCTACCGCCCACCCTGCACCTCCAGTGATTAGAAACTCCGCGTCGTTTAAAGTCGGTAGGCAGCAATCAACGTCTAATCGAGGATCACGCGATGCAAGAGTGTCCTTCTTACCACGTACGGGTTTCCCTCCCCTCGAGCGGTACGATTCACCAGAATTAATTCACTTGCTGGTCTGGCTCGAGCGAAACCGGCGGAATTGTATTCGTCATTTTTGAAGACACGCCTACGTTGTTCGTTCTCGTGGAACGTATTCTTCGCTGGGCAATTTCTCCGATCGCTCCCAGCGAGAAAACAGACAACTGTCCCAGAGGCTGTTCTCAACTCCGCGTGCTTCGCTTCTATAGCTTGTCGTTCATTTCCCGAACAAACAGGAGCACGGCTAACGCACCGTTATCCACGCCGAACTCTCGCACGCGAAACGCTAAATATTTATTAGATGCAGCCGATGTACCGACAACCGTCCATCGTGTTCCACCGACCTCTGACGCGATATCAATTTCTGTGACGAGACTGCCCCGAGGTTGTATCCTTACACGCCTAACGTCATTGAAAAGTTGAATTCACCCGCTTTCCAAACGCCCTGTCGACCGAGCTGTTAACTCATTGGCTACGGCAGACTTTGATACGTATACAGTAGGAATTTAATCGCGACCTGCACTGAGAACGACGAAATTTTTCGTCAGAAAAATATATATTGAAATAACATTGAATTCACTACATTAAATTATTATTTATTTATTTATTTATTCATTTGTGTTCTGTGTTGAATTGTTTGACTTTATTTCACATAATATATGTGGTACAATTCGAAACACTCTTCTTATGTTTTCTACACATCACATCTTCTTTTCTGGTTAATTTATTGCCACGCCTTTTCATTTTAAATGAAATAACCGTAATACAATCGCGTTTAAATAATACATGACTAACGGAAGATGTAATTGTTGAACTAGAATTCTCTTATGTCTGATCCAAGTGAGGTTTGCCGCAATTATTGTCGATAACGTTCGTCGGGCGCTAGTAAGCACCATTAGTTTGATTCGAGCAATGTGAAGTGAGTATCTACAGGCGTCTTTCGTTTCAGCGGACCAAAGTAACCAAGGGATTAAGCAGGCTCCAGTATTATGTTATTGTTAACAAAAGAATGTACCTAACATTCGTGATTTAACACTAAACGTACCCCGAC